TGTTTGAATATTTGAAAAACACACAATAAAATAATTAGCTATTCATTTTTTCATGAATGTTTTTATTGAGTACTCCATACTAGATAGCAAACAAATTTATGTGGGAAGCAAACTTGTAGCACATCTTGAAGGGGATGAGTTTTAAAGGCTGTGTAACTGCTAGCAGGGCCTACACGAAAAGAAACTCAGACCAGGCAGAGTAAACACTTGAACAAGTGTCTTCAGATGCATGTGTTAAACGGTAGGAAAGGAAAGGATAGGCAGAAAACAATCACAGTGAAGTAGCTTTATATTAAGGGCAACAGAGTACCTTTAGGAAAGTTCTAGGTTATCTGAAAAGTGACAGTAATAAACACTATAAGCTGTTTTTAATTACTGCCACTCTGATACACGTTAAAAATGTGCTGTCCTGGCTCAGAGAAAAGTAAATAGGTCCGGAAATAGTAATGGAGATAGAACTGGAGGAGCAGATGTGAGAAATACCAAAGAGAGAGACAAGACAGGACTTTATCAAGGTTTTGTTAATGAAGGTAAAGAAAAGTCATGATTTTCCATGGAGCAAATTTCTTGCTTGGACAACTGAGTGTTTGCACCCTATTCATTCATTTGTAAATATGTTGAGTTTCAGGTGTGTTCAAGACATCCAACTGGATATCCAGTAGGATTCTGAAGCCAATAAGGAAAGTCTAAGCCAGAAATAAAGATTTAGGAGATATCAGAATAGTATCAGAGTAGAGAAGTTCACATGGGGAAGAAAAAGATACTTCCAAATAAAATATATATTAAAATTTCTTGTGGTTTATAAGAAATATTCTTTGTTTTTGTTTTTTTGTTTTTTGGGTCCAGTCGTGGGGCTGAACTCTGGGCCTGGGTGCTGTCCCTCAACGCTTCAGCTCAAGGCTAGCACTCTACCGCTTGAACTACAGCACCACTTCCACCTTTTTTCTTTTTGCTTATGTGGTGCTGAGGAATCGAACCCAGGGCCTCATGCATGCAAGGCAAGCGCTCTACCACTGAGCCACCTTCCCAGCCCTATAAGAAATATTCTTGATAGAGTGTAAGTTCCAAGTTTACATTATTTACCATTCAACTTTCGTTGACTAAAAAAGTACTTGACATGTAACTATTCCAAAGATAATTATCGGTGAACATCTTTTCTTTAGATTAAAATTATTTTACCATGGTTAATGTGGATTTAATTAATCAAACATTAAGTAATTATTTATAGATAAAATGTGTATTTTAATTTTTAGTTTAAAAACTTTATTAAATGCCTTGGTTACTAGTAAGTGACATCTTAGTCTAGTTCAAGTGTGGTTTAATGACTCCTTTTTTTTTTGTATCTCCTTTCCAGAAGCCTAGAATATAGATGCTACACTATTTGTGCCTCCTCTTTCCTATTGATGAGCTTGGTTTGCCCCTTTCCCTTTCTCTCACATAACTGGAATGCTTTAGGCAGTCATCCTGCTCATTCTGTGGCCTTTTGTCCTACAGTCTTAGGTCAGTCAGGCAGTGTTAGCTCTAGAATTTCTATATCGAAGAATGATAGTGGCAGTATGTCTGACGAGAGGAGAGGTGTCTGTTGCTTTAGAATTTCAGAAACATTCTTTTGCATTCCACTCAAGTTAAATATTCTAACACTCAACTACTATTATATCACTGTTTCACTATGTTCATTACATTTATCAGCATTCATGTTTATATATCTCTTAGCCCTCTTAGTCTTTTTTCACTTAATCAGATAATTCAGGTCAGATTCCATGTCTACATTTTCTCATTAACAACCAGCTTCACTTACATGTTACTCACTTGAATAGTAGGAACAAGATCCATATTTACACACACACACACACCTATATGCTCACTCATTCTTACTTCATTCTTTATCTGTGGTTCTATAAGACTGTCTTGGTATAATTATTTTAATATTCTTTTTATAAAGCTAAATCAAGATCTAGAAATAGCCAGGCACCAGTGGTTCATGCCTACAATTCTAGCTACTCAGGAGGCTGAGATCTTTGGACAGAGGTTTGAAACCAGCCAGGCAGGAAGGTCCAGGAGACTGTTATCTCCAATTAATCAACAGAAAACCAGAAGTGACACTGTGCCTCAAAGTGGTAAAGCACTAGAGTGCAAAAGCTCAGGCACAGCGCCTAGGCCCTGATTTCAAGCCCCATGGTAGACAAAGTAATTTTTTTTTTTTTGTCCGTTGTGGGGTCTGAACTCTGGGCCTGGGCTCTGTCCCTCAGCTCTTCAGTTTAAGGCTAGTGCTCTACCACTTGAGCCACAGCACCACTTCTGGCTTTTTTTCTGCTTATGTGGTGCTGAGGAATCAAACCCAGGGCCTCATGCATGCAAGGCAAGCAATCTACCACTGAGCCACTTTCCCAGCCCAAACAAAATAATTTTTAAAAAAAGAGTTAGAAACACTATTGAGTACAACTGTATCATTTCTTAATCCCTGCCTTTCTCGACCATTTTGATTTTATACCCATTCCACATCATAGTAGCACTGTAGCTGTCCTGCATTGTATGTGATAAAACAAGAAAAAATCCAGAATATCACCCCACGTTAAAGAACCAACAAGACAGTAAAGGAATGCTGCTTTATATCATGTATGTTATCAATACAAAAAAGGTTGCACTTTGTAAGTGAATATTTTTCCTATAGCCTCAATATAAATAAAAACACAAAGTACATAGAAATCCAAGAACCTGAGAGTTGGGCTAAATACTTAAACCCAGCATTTACTGTGGATTCTCTGCTGATGATAAGGGCCACATTTTTGATTTAGCATTTTATTTTAATCAGAGTTCTGCCATGTTCACTCTCTCTCAGTAAAAGGTAAACAGGATTATGGTTATTAAAAGATAGATTTTCAGGCCAGAATAACTTGTGATAAATTGTCATTTACTTCTTTAAGCTTTAAATTGCTATTGAGAACATAAAAACTATCTTTTCTTATAAATGGACTGTATATACAGCTAGAATCTTTTGTTTCTTCCTTTAAAGAGGTGACACTTACTTTGGGATTTCAATATTTTTCCTTCAGAAGAACATATATAACATTTTTACTACACAGAAACTGGGGAGTCTGTACTTTCATATCATCTTCCAGAGTTGGAAGTTTTTGCTACAGATCCAAGTATCAGGATAATGCACAAATTTTAAAGCAGTAAAACAAAAAAGAATGTGGATCATGTCCAGGTACCATGGTTGGCATGATGGGTAATACAGAAGACTAGGCTTAAGTCTCCATCCTTTCACATTGGTTCTCTCCCACAAATATCTATAGTATAATCACTCTTCATCACCTCCATCTCTCGTTTTATTATCTTGGTTGAGGACCCTATACTCTTCTATCTGAGCTATAATGACAGCCTTCTAACTAACTTACTGTTCTTTAGGCCTGGCAAGTAGATTCCTACCTCAAAGGTATCTAGAACAGCACCCAACCCACAGTAGGTAATCAATAAATGTGTGTTGATTAACCATTCACTTTAAATAATAACACAAGGCAATGAGACAGCAATCATTCAAAATGTTTCACAGTATTTCTCCCAATATATATATATATCATTATTGGGATAGCTCTTCTGAAATAAGTATGCCCAGACTTTCCCATAACACCTAGCATGTTTCCAGGTAGGATCCTAAGCACATGTATGTTTAAACAGCATTCCATGCAATTCTATTGTTTTTAAAAGATTGTGGTAAAGCATATGTAACATAAATGTGTCCATTCTAACCACTTCCCATTCTACTTTGTACCCTAGTTTAAACTACTGGCATAGTACATCACTTCAGCTTAGGGAGAGTAACTGAAAAATTTACAAAACAAATAAAAACTCCATGTTGTATTAGAATGATCATGGGTTTTGGTGGTAACTTGTTATCATTTTGTTAGATAGGAGATGAGGACAGAGTTACTCAAACTCTTAAGTTTCCATACACATAAAATGAAGATGATTTTTATACCTATCTCCTATATCCACTGTAAACTGCTTAAAAGATTATTATCTAACTAAAATGAAGTCAAGCAAATAAAGATTCTACATTGTTGCACGTTGCAGTCAATAAACTTCAGCCTACTGGAATTACTTTCATTGAAATAATATAATGGTTGGAAACATAAAAAAGTCTGTGTAATTCTGACATAGATGCTAGAAAAATGTCTCCTCCATTTCCAACGTGGCAGGTAAGAATGAAATTTGTTAGGTGTTGCTTAGATATGAGCATTCTTCAGAATCCTGGCAGGCTCCTTTAAAAGACAGACTCCTGAGCCCACTGGAGTATCACATTCAGTAAGTCTAGGGTGGGACTGATAATCTTCATTCTAACAAGTTTCCAGAAGATGTCAGAAGCTGATGCTGTTTGGGAGTTATCAGTGAGGTAAAGAAAGTATACACATCCTTTGTAACAAAGCCTCTGAGCCCATTAATTCCTTCAGTATGAAAAGTTAAAATAAGAAAACATAAATAGCTCACTTTTTACAAAAGTTATACCAGTAACTTGCTTTTAAAGAGTTTTTTTTTAATTTTACAATTTGATTTTTTTAAATCAACTATGTATTAAGCTTTGAGTAACAGTGAAGTTTCATGGTATTGCTGTTCCAATGAAAAATGCTCTAAAAATTAATTCAAAGATAAGGTTGATTCTTCTTAAAATATTCTTTGTATTTTTGTGTGTGCCACTACTGGGGCCAGAACTCAGGGCCTGGGTGCTTATCCCTTAGCTTTTACACTCAAGGCTGGCACTCTACCACTTGAGTCACAGTTTGACTACTGGATTTTTGGTGGTTAATTGGAGGTTAAAAAGTCCCACAGACTTTCCTTCCTAAGTAGCTAGGATTACAGGTGTGAGCCACTGGCACCTGGCAGAATACTCTGTTTCAGTTAAAATCTAGATAAAAAATGAGACATGACAATTTAAAGGAATAAATGGAGGTACAATTTTTGCTGAGTAGGTGGCATACAAGAGTACTAAACAGAGTACTTACAGGTGTGGAGGCATTCTGTCACTGTGGTTGGCTTGATAAGATACCCTTTGCAGATATAGCAGGTAATGTAAGGATTGAAATCTTTCACCAAGTGTTTCCTTTGGGTAGCCATTCGAGGTTAACTGGCTTTAATAGTTCAGGCAAAGAGTGGTAGGTATTAAGTGGATGAAAGTCTGGTCCCAGGAGACGATGTCGTGTTCCCAATAGGATGTCTTGAGGCATGAGAACTAACATCCAGATTTATCATGAGATCAAGGATCATCACTTCTTTGGCTGGTTCTGCTCTTCCATATCTGTTCCACAAACCTTTTTAAAAAAAAAGAGAGAGAAAAAGTGTCAAATTCTTCATTATGTATGTCCAAAATTGGGTGAATAAAACATATTTTTACTGTATAATTAACTCAGAATAATGACAAATTCATCCAATCCTGGAGCCTTAACAATCCGTTCCACACTAAAGATAGGCCAGAGCTATCAATTTCAGTTTGATCTCTTTACTAATAAAGTTAAAAATAGTTAAAAATAGTAAAGAGATCAATCTCCTTGATTGCTCTATTAGGAATTCCTTCCAACAAAAGTTAAAAAAATTGAAAACTTTCCTTCCTATCTAAACGTCCCTATTTCTGTTCTGTACTCTAATAATTAATAGTTAAATCAGGATTTTTTTTCTATTACATGCATATTACCTCACCACCTACAACCCAGGTTTGTTTTCAAAGAGTGTCAGTGTCTCCTCCTTACAAACAGAAAACCTTTTTAAGTTTGTCAGCTGTCACATAAGTTACGACTCTACACAGAGAATGACCTTAACACATCTTTCTTGAAGGAAATTGGGGGAATCGCTGCCCTCTTATCATTAGCTCTCCTACCCAGTAAGCCCCTCCTCTCCTATGGCAGCAACATACCCATCCTCAGAACTCTCCTCCAATGCTATCCTCTATACCCTGTTCCTCCTTCTATAGCTTTGCACTCTATTACGTTTGTTCATTTTGATTTATAGTTATATCCATTCTTAATCTCCACTACTAGAATGAAAAATGCTCAATAGAAACTGGTCATATTTAGTAGATATATAATCTAGGCAGTGTTATCCTCTTCTGTATCTTTTTCCCCCTGTCTTTTTAAACTGCAAAATGAAAAAGCCAGCTCCTACAGTGGTGAGGATTCACTGAGAATATACACACAAGGCTAGCACACAATAACACTGGATAAAAGTCATCATTTTCTCACAACTTTTAACACAGGACACACACCTATGTATATATGTACATACACATATACATGTACACACGTTTCTAGAGTTTCTTACAAAGGAGGTTCCCTGTCAGAAAACAGCATGAAAGAAATCGCTGATCTCCCCAAGTTCACTCTACAAACAGACACTCCTCTCCGTTGGAGCGATGAACTCTTGAGCGAGTATAAAGTAACCGGAAAAGTAAAAGGCATCATTCCTCAGCACACACTCACTGTGATAGGCTCTGCGTGTAAACCTCCACCGTGCTGAGGAGAAGGAACCGGGAGGTCGGGGCCCTGGGTTCTGCCTGACCTTCAGGGAAGCAACTTGCCAGGGCTCCCGACTCCCTGACTGTCCCGAGGGCTTGCCAGGAAGCTCCCAAGTAGGAGCAAGTCCCCGGGAAGAGGAAGAGGCAGGGTCCGCCCAGGCTGTGCTCAGACCCCGGGGCAGAGCGCGGCGGGGTCACCCAGCCGGCGAGGGAACTTTTCTGGGTGCACCGATCCTCCCGCTCGCCGGCTCCGCAGGTGCCCGGCCCGCGGCCCCGGGAATCCCAGCTCGGGCCCGGCGGGAGCGGGCCGCCCCTCTCCCTTGGCTGAAGCCCCCAGGGCCCGTCTCCGAAGCGCGCCGGGTCTAACTCCAGGCGGGTGGGGCCCCCAGCAGGTGCTGAGGTGCGGCTCCCGCCCACGGAGCACATTTGGGCGGGGAGCTCGGGCCCCCGAGTCCCGGACCCTCCCCGGCCCTCCCGGTACCTACCCAGCGGCCACAACCGCCGCTCCTAGCCCGCCAGCGCTCCGGCCGCCCAAGGAAGGAAAGTGAAAGAGAAACAGCGCCCGCCGCGGCCTGGCGGGTCCCCGAGCCCCGTCCGCCCTCGTCCGCCCTCCCCCGGCCGGCGGGAGCACGCCGCTCAGCTCCGCTCCACAGGGCCACTGGGCTCGGCCCGATAGGGCGCGCCGGGCCTCGGGGCCCAGGGCCGGTGCCGCCTCCAAGGGCAACTCCACCCCCTTCAAAACGGCCAGCCCTGAGGAAGGGAGGCCCCGCCCAGCGCAGGCCACACCCACCGGCCCCGCCCACAGGCCGCGCCCCGCCCCGCCCCCCCAGCTTCTCGCAGGTGCCCTGGCCACCCAGTTGCTACTTCTCTGAGACTTGTACGTTTGGTCAAATTTTATCTCAGTTCTTATCCAAGTCTCTTCCTCCTCCTCATTTTTTCATCACAATGACCCGTATGTTTTTCCAGGCAATGGTCAGTGTGGAGACTGAGTCACCCTATAAACTTTTCTTCTGCATCTTTCTCCAATCAGTCCCCACCCAGCAGCAAATATCCCTTGAATTATACTGAATTAAAAACAAAACACCCCCAAACCACTAGCTAACTTGTTGCTGTAGGGTGGGTCCGGTGATCAAGATCAGATCATTGCCAACTAAAAATAAATAGGAATATTGTGGGGATAGGGTTGATGGGGAGAGGCTCAAAACAAACCAACACCAACGTACTCTTTCTAGTGGACTGTGAGTTGGACAAGGGACCACACACTGCAAAAAGACTCAATTTAAAGACCTGCATCAAGGAGTTCACATTTAATCCTAGACTACTATGTTCTACAAACAAATTTCTACTACAACCATGACTTTGCAAAATACAAATTAGACCTGGTTTTTACTTCTTAGAAGATCGCAATCTAGTAATCAATGTAGTCTTTGCTAATGAAACACAAAAGGAGCATTCAAAAAAAAAGTTGCTAAGGGTGGCTATAGAATTCAGTTAATACAAAGTATTTGCCTTTTCTCATACTGATAGAAGTCACCTTCTTGCTAGAGTGACAGATTGTGAAGATAAGTCTAGTGGTAAGTTAACAAAACTAACTACCATTGCATTCATGGTGGCTGCATCTGCAGTGGTATCCAGGGATACATTACAAAATTAAAAGGTACCAAAAGTTTTAAAAACTATCCATTTTATAATTAAGCTTATGTAGACATAGTAAAACATATCAACTTAACATCACAGCAGAACAATACATTTTCTAAAACAGCTTTAAATGATCATATTTTATAGCCCCTTTAAGAACCATTTTGCAATATTATTATATATGTTAATTTTCAAGCTGGGATTAACTTCAATAAGACAGCAATCACGATAAGTAAAAGGAAACAAGTTAAATAACTTTTATAGTAGAAGGAGATATCATGTTTTTTCACTATCTACATGAAAAGACATTAAGAGTTATTTTACATGTGACAAGAGAGCCAATTTCTGGTGTACTTAAAACATGCAATGGAGATCTTATTTTATACACTGCAACACATACAAAATAAAATGACTCAGTATGTTTCTATTTAGTGTCTGAACCCATTTGAACTGCATTTTTAAAGAATAACAGTTCATGAAATTGAAGAGGGAATGAATGTTATTGGTAATCAATGGTAGGTGTAGGAATGACAGGAGAGCAGATATTAGGACATACGTTTCTATGAAGAGAAGGAGCATAAATATGCTATAGAGCAGTACCTGAGACTGAAGATGAAGGTGTTGTTGCCGAAATGAACTGTGTGTATATACATATGTACGTATGTACACATGTATGTACATATATACATGTGTATGTACATGTCCTTTGTGTTGTTGACTACAAGCAGTGTAGTTTGTCATGAAATGTTCTGTGACATTTCCTCTTCAGCCACCACTTTACTTCTACTTCAAAAATAAAAATGCATGTGCGAACACATAAAAGATAACTCATAAAAACCTCAAACATTTGTTCAATTAAGAAAAAAACATGCTCAACAAGAAATAGATTCATTACCTTATTGATGTAACTGTAACCTATCTGTACAGCATCTTTACAAGAAAATAAAATTTAAAAAACATTAAAAAAAAAGAAAATAACAAAAGCAACAGAGGGAGGAAATACAGAAGGACAACTTCCCTGAGTTATGTGTCTGTCTTAAGTATTCAGGCATGGAACTTTCAGCTGCTCCTTCTCTCTCCCTCTTCCTCTCTCTCCCCAATCTTCCTCCCTTTATGGAGGCTGCTCCTCTATCCCTTGGTTCTGCTAATTAGGGCAAGAAATAAACCTCAGAAATCTCAATATGATGGGTGGCTCTGAAAACATACGTCAAGTATAGTGGCACTTTGAAGCAAGCCAAGTCTTGAATAACTAGATGTAGAAGACCAGGTAAAAGGAAAAGGCAGGTGAAAGAAACATAGCTGGAGTCCCATTAGCAATTGCCTGCCTTAGCCTTTGCATTTACAGATGCAGAAACCAAGACTCTGTGAATAGCAAATTCCTAATCACAGAGCTGAATTTGGCAGAACCAACATCAAAGCAAACATTTCAGTTCAGTTTAATTTACACCTGTCATGATAACTCAAGTGTGCACATTTAAGAGAGGTCTAGTAAAATGAAACAAAACAGGGTAGCTTTAAAACAAAAACAAACTGAGAAGGGGAGAAAAGGGAGAGAATAGATGAAGGTAGGAGTTGCCTGGATGGTACTTAGATGTGATAGTCACTAGTGATTTCCCTTTCATTTGATTGTTAGCCCAGGAACTAGAAATAGTTCTTAATGGGAACTATTCAGAGTTATCTGCATATCTAGCCAATGCTTTCATTATTTTATGTTTTAGTCTAGATTTTTATTTCAGTCAAGGCTGGACAATTGATGGGTAATTCTATATTGAAAAGTTCACTTTCCTTCCTTAATAAATGTATCATCGATTAATTGGCTTTAATGGTATAACTTACTTGTAAAATAGGGTGTGTTTATATTTCCAAGAAATGTTGAATATGACGGCTTTGTATGATAAATAATTTTATATACCAAAATATGCCGATTAATCCTTTAAAATGGATTATCTTTTCTTTTTTGCCAGTAGCTGGGTTTGAACCCAGAGCCTTAATTACCTTGCTTGGCTGTGGCTTTATCAGTTGATCTCACTGCCAGCCTAAGATTTTGCTGTTTATCTTGAAGATGGTCCCACGGATTTTTCTGTCTAGGCTGGCTTTGAATCATCATATCCTGAGTAGCTAGGAAGACAGGCATAAATCCCTCACATGGAAGAGATTTATCAGATA